TGGCATGTGGTGCTGGGGGATTGAACCGCGGTCCCTGTGCTTTGCTAAGCTTGTTCTAAGTAGGTGCTTTAGACCACTGAGCCATCTCACCAGCCCCTGATTTGATTTAGATGTTATCACGTGCAGAGGGCTGGGCCGAGGGGAAGCTTCTCACCTTGAGATGAAGCCCTTAGGATCCATGGCCAAGCCTTCCATGTTCTCCTGCAGAGGGATGTAAGCTGCCTCACGCAGAGGACAGGCCCAGGATGAAGTGTGCAGGGAAGGAGCCCTCTGGGTAGTGTGGCCGCCTCTCCTCTCAAAGACTCTGACTTGTGGTGTGACTTTGCACAATCCAGCATGCCTTCCAAGGAGCCTCTTTCACTGGCTGTTGACTTGCCCTGGGGAGGCTTTCCTAAGACACTTCCAGAAAGCAGGGGAAGCAAGAAGATGAAAGCATTAGGGGAAGAAGGTGCTGCTTTTTCAGAACAAGGACACGCTCTTCTCCATGTCCTGTTTTCTTTCTAGCCAACACCCTCTTCCAGTCCTGCAAGCAACTGATGTGTATGTATTTGTTATTTCTTCCAGGAAATGATCGGAATGGCCTCGATTTCAACAGACAGGTAAGAACTGGTCAGGAGAAACATTTATCTTCCAATTTTGGGAGTGCCATGTGTGAGGATAACAAGAAGATTAAGAACAGTTTGGGGGTGATTATTCATAGACATTTAGATTTCAGGAGTAAAGGACCCTGACCCTCTGGATCCAGCCTCTCACCCCACCATGATCCAGTGTGGGGGTGTCCTCTTCAGAATCCCCTCAGATCACTTCAGAGTGCTAACAAATGGAGCAGCTATTTAGCAGGAGCTGTGTGGCACATGTCCAGAAATCGGAGATGATAGCCCTTTCTGCCCAGGTTTAGCCTAATGACATCTTAGTGAGTCTGGTATGTGGACCACATAGAGCAGAATCTATGGCATCATCAAGGACGTGATACCTGGGTTTCCATAGGGAGCTCCTAACTGAAAGAAAGTTGATAGGGATAGTGACAAGAAAAACAGAAGAACTTAGAAAAAAACACTAGCCAGGCTGAGGGACAACAGAGAAGCAACTGAGTTGGGTGAATGTTGCAGTCAGGATTTTTCAGGGAAGCAATTTCATACAGGACACATAATTTTATAGCATTATTTTACAGTAGTCACCCAGAGAGTCAAATACAAGAGTCAAATATTGCAGGAGGTCAGTCCATACAATAAAGACCCAAAGTATCTGGTTGAGGGCCCAGGTGCTACAGCAGTGTCCTACACGAGTCCAGCTGAAGACCTACAGCTCATGACAATCCCCCAAACAAGTCTAACCAAAGGCCTAGAGCCCACAACAACATCTCATGCAAGTCTGTTCCACCTATCGGTGCTGCAAAGGCCCAAAGGTCAGTGATGGAAGCTAGAAAGTCTGCTAGTGGGATGAAGGATCTGTGCTGACAGGCTGAGGGATCTGCGCTGGAGCCAGGAAGCAACACTGTAAGGTCCAGAGCTCTCCTGAAAAGCACCACAGCCGTCCTCGGCAACAGTGAGGTCATGAACTGCTTTGATGAGGAGGAAAGCTGAGTTCATGTCAGGAAAGCTAGCACGACAAGCTTCTTCAGGAGAACCAATGACACTGCCTCTTCCTTTCCGCTTCTCCATTTTATGTTGGTGGCAGCAATCCTCAGGTGGACCATCCAGACTCAGCACCATGCTGATTCAGTTCAGCTGGATGTTACAAGTTGACCACCAGTTGTCAATCTATCACAGTGAGGTTAGACTGAGTGAGGAAGGCTTTGGGCAGGGGCAGATGGTGTTAGAAAGATTACGAGTTGGGATGAGTAAAAAAAAGGGGAGGATTTCTCCCCTTGAAGTTTCAAGCTGAAAGGAAAGCTAGCAGATGGAGGTAAAACAAGGGCACACAGTCAGAGCAGCCAGTAGCAGTGGGAGAGTTCACAGGAGAGAATAGTGTAAGCTGGGGAGAAACAGCAAGCAATGATGGGGACCCTAAAGTGTGGCAGAGGGGAGAGAATTAGATACCAAATCAGAAAGCCTAGGTTTTGCTCTAACTTCTGCCACTAACTAGCTCTATAATTTTGTTTTAATATTTGGCCTGAATGTATTTCATCTGAAAAATTAATAAATGGGAGATAGGTGTCTACTTTATGCCAGATATATATGGAGGGGGCACCAAGAGAGTCCTAAGTAAACAAGTCTCATTTATGCTTTGCTCAGATGTATAAAAAGCAGGGCATCTAACAGAGAAATGGGAAGTAGGAAAGATGGATTCTTCCTGAGAACTCAGAGCAGGCTTTGTGGAGGAGGTGGTACCTGAGAGTAGCTCTGAAGGGAGAAGTGGGTTTTGTCAAGCAAAGAAGAGTAGATTGTAGCAGATACCAGGTGGGAGAGATCCAAAGGAGGAGCGCTGGATGATCTCTAGGATTCCTTCCACATGTTCTGTCCGCTATTCTGAGTCTGGGTGTTGGTGGAAGTTTGCGATGAGCCTGGAGATGAAATGCAGACAGATCTTACATGCATTTTTTCCTCCTTTATCTGAATCTACTGCTAATTTCTTTCTTTCTTTTTTTTTTTTTTTCTGGAACCAGGGATTGAACTCAGGGCCTTATGCTTGCCAGGGAAGCGCTTATTCCACTGAGTCATCTCCCCGGCCCCACTACTGCTAATTTCTAAAAGGCCATTAATTCTGGGTACATCTTCATAGTCAGAACAGTAATCTTGAGTTCTAACCCAAAGCCTTTTAGATAGGCAAATTTTACAATTTTGTTAATCAGGAAAGCTGAGAAATTTGCCAACAAATGAAGACCTTCCATTCCTCCCTCATTGCCTGCATCTACCAAGAGGGACTTTATAAAACAGAGATCTAGGTTAGGTAAGAGAAATGCTTGCCGGTCAATGCAGTTTTTAAAATCCTATACCACCAGAAAGGGAGGGACACTATAGAATCAGCTTCTCACTCATGGTCCTTCAGTGAGAGACAGACTGTTGTCTAAGATAAGTTTGGCCAAATTTGTTTCAAGAATAGAAAGATGGAGGTGTACTCTGAGTGCTCTGTACCTGCAGAAGGGTGTCAAGCAGGTGGAGTTGTGAGCTGTGCCCCAGCTTTCTGCCTTCCTGACCTTCTCCACCATTCCCACCTCAGGAACCACTTCTCACTGCTCTGGGCCTTGGATGAGAAGCACAGGGAGGAAGTTGCCCCACTCCAAGATGTGGCCATGCTAGCCTGCTGGAAGATAGCCAGCTCCACAGGCTTGGGGAGTTTGGCTGCCTCTGTGATCAGTCTAGAGCTTGAGAAATGCTTTTGCAGGTTACAAGGCTAGGAGCAGGTCCTCTGGCTCTGGGGAGACTACAGGAAGGCCCGTGGTCCTTTGGATACCTTTTGGAACGCAGTTCCCACACCAGCTGGCCTCTGGGATAGGCTACTTTGGCTTGTTTCCCTCGGACCCACCTTGCAGGGTTGATTATTCCCCTAACCCCTCCCCAGGAGTTTGGATTTCTCATTACTGCCAAGGGCAGACCCATCTGGGGATGGTTTAGAAGGAGAGACATTCAGCTTGGTCACACCCACTTACACACTTGACAAGAGCTCTGCTTGCTCACACTCATGGCCACAGCCTTCCTAGCGTGCCCCTCCTCACCCTCAGAGGCCATCAGATACCCTTGCCCACACACTCGCCTCCACACCTGCTCACCTGCAGGACTCCAGGTGCCACCCAGGCCTCTGCTTGGCAATCACACCTCATGCTTCACAGCCAGGGAAATAGACACTCAGTGCACTTTATCTTATTTAGTTCTCACTGTAAACCAAGAGGTGACTGCGTTATTGTCCCTGAGTTACAGGTGAGGAAACTGCTTCCCAGACAGCCCTACCTTTGTCAGCAGGGATGTGGGACATTTAGTAAGTTGACATAGGTCACACAACTGACAGGGCTAAGATTTAAACTCGTGTTTCCTTGACTCCAGAGCCTCTTTTTCCCGTGATGCCTCACTGTGTCCTCTACTATCTTTGAATTTGCTCTTCTGATGCAAACACATATACTTCTTGGGGAGAGGCCTTGGAGCCAATTCTGAAGGTGACTTCACTGTGACTAAGTGGAAGGATGTGGGAGGCAGAGGGAGTGAGGAGGAGAGGAAAGTACAATTGTGGGGGAACTTCTCGGAGCAGACACAGATGAGGCTTGGAAGACACAGGAGAGCAAAGGAAGAACCCAGGTGCTTGGGACGGCTCCTGTTGGAAGCCCCAGGCTAGCCGGTATGCCTGGGAACTGCAGCCAGGTGCTAGGTGAACTGCATTCTAAGGTTGCATGAACAGGAAACGTTGAGTCATCCAATGCTCACACCATGTTTCCCCATCAAATTTCTTCTCTTTCTGGACTCAGGAAGACAGTCTTAGCCTGTTCTGGGGAAGGCCAAAAGCCCTGATGCCCCTTCTTCTCCAGGGAATGTAAGTGAGTTGAGAAGCAATGAGAAATGGTCAGGTCCCCTGATGGAGACTCAGAAGTCCTGGGTCCCCATGCTGTCTGCCCTCAGTTGCTGCTGCTCTTATGCAAAGCTCTTTCTCCTCAGCTTTGGCTTCGTCATGAATGAGCTGAAGACATGTAGATGAGATGATATATATGGCCCTGTACAGTCTGTGTGCTGTGGTGCTGTCATTTTTGTCATGCCATGTTCTGACTGGTTAGTTGGACTCGTTCACTCTCCTTGTATTTATTTGTGTTTTTCTTTGAAGATAGATGAGGAAGAGAGACACCCTGAGTTGTCAGGGGGAACAGATTCCAGGGAACTTCTGCAACCTTTATGATCATGTGGAACCCTATGAAAGAACCATTTGGAGTAAAGGGGCAGCCCCAGAAGGACCCAGTGAGCCACATCTGGGGGCCGCCTATTCATTCCTTGAATACTTAGTCATTCTTAAGTGCTAGGTAGAGGGCGTTAGTTGAAAGGAGATAAATTGCGACATTCATAGAGGACTCCATAAGAGACATAAGAGTACTGAGCTCTGGGACACTGCCTAATGAAAGTACACAGAGGTGGCGTTGGAAGTGGTAGCAAAGGGAAGGTCGGACTTTGGCAGGAAGACGTGGCAACGGTGTCCCAGCACAGGAGACAGTGAGTATAAAGACTAAATATTGAACAGGGGTGTGGCTTTGCAAAATGGTCAGAGGACTGGCAAGGGATGACCTGCTAGAAGATGAGGCTGGAGCTGTGGGCCAGGCCAGGTTAGGAAGAGCTCTGAATGCCAGAGAAGTAATGAGTATCTCATGGGCAGTAGGGAGCCAGTAGGCACAACTACTTTCATTCAGTGGAAGAGCACTGTATGGTGTGGGTAAGGTGGGAAGAAAGGGTGAGTGAAGGGCCCTGCAGGGGAAGCCCTGCAGAATGTTGCTGCAAGCAGCGAAGTGGGCCACATGAAGGGCAGAGATCACAGCACAAGAGCAAAGCCAGCTTGTCTGGGCTTGAAGCTCGGCTTTGCGCTACCTGACTGTGACATTAGGCAAGTTCTTCTGTCTCTGTGCTTCAATCTTCTCATCTGTAAAATGGGGAGAATACTGCTATCTAGCCCACAGGATGGTTGGGAAGGT